TTCTTGGCGACTGGTTTATACTTTTTCTTTGTGGCAGCAAAAATCGGAACTGGCGAATTCGGTACGCCACTAAATAAATTAACCGATGAAAAATAAGACCGGACCACTGGAGACTCGCAGGCGGAGAGATAAAGGAAAGGAATGGAATCTTGTATTGAGGTTTTGCTATTTTCTTGATGATCTAAAATATGGAACGCAGAAATCTGAAACCGGGCGGGGGTATCTGTCTCTTCGATGACAAGGGCCGCCCACTGCTCCTCGTCTGAGTCGCCTAAAAATAAATCATCCCGCTCTAGAGGCGGGGCCTCGAAATCGAGGGCGACCTCTTGGAAATGTCGGGATAGTGGACACAATTCCAGAGTTGGGGTCGTTGATCGTGATCGTCTGGTCCTCATTTTTGAAATTTTTGATGCAACTCTCCGTTAATACATCGAAGGGACGTCCCAATAAAATGTCGTAGGCTGGATCCCTAATAACATGGATCTGGAGGTAAACGGTAATATCTCCGACCTGGAAGGGAATATTGTGCGCCAATCCTAACGACATGTCGATGGTTTTATTTGCCGACTGCATCTGGAGCTGAATCGTAGGGTCGTACTGAAGTCCCAGTGAATGGCAAACCGCCTCCGACATTGCTACGATCTGAGAACCTGGATCTAAAATCGCCTCGACCTTCTCCTGGTTGTCTATGAGCCCCATAATGGACCGCAACGCATGAGACTCCTTGGCCACAACCAACTGCTTCGGTGTCTCCCCCGGACCTAGACTCCGGAGATAAATCTCATAGGGGTCGGGAACCACCAACACTCCAGGACGGATCGAACTACCGCTGTGAATTAATTGCTCCACATCCGGCAACTCCGGACCATCGTCTTCATCCTCCACTTCCTGTATAGTGGCTTGGAGTCGAATAGCGGGCGGCGCGGGCACTTTCTTGGGTGTCACAATGTCCCTATACTTCGCTCGGACCTCCGGAGCGATGGATAATAATTCCTCAGAGGTCAACGAAATATTCGGAGTCTTGAGCGACCGCTCAAACACCAGGTCCGAGATGCGAGGATTATAGACAGGGGCCTGCGTGCGGTAGGCTGGCTCCTTGGCTTGTGACGCGTCTGCTGCTTGAGCCGAGCCTTTCTCGACACTCCGGGGAATTGCCTGCCTAGGCCTGTTGACGTCCCTTGCACCGGCGAATGGATGGATTGGTCCCTCTGACATGTGAGGTGGGGACTCTCGATTTATTGCCGGCCGCACTGCTTCGGCCACTGGCTGTTCTCGTACCGTTTGACTCTTGGCTCTAGAGGGTGCGGGACCTGTCGGACCAACTCCGGACTCCTTGGAGGGGTTGGACGACCTATTCGGAGGAGGAACGTAGACTCCGTCAAACACCTGCTTCCCTTTCCCTCTCAACGCAAATAATTCCCGCTCCAAGGCCTCAATTCGCTCCCGCTGGTCCAAATGGAACATATCCGTGGTCTGTGGGGCCGCCGACGCTCGCACCTCCTCCCATAGCATTGTGTCCAATAAATGGACGCTTGTCTGCCCGGGGTTCTGGCGATGCCATTCTAAAATGCGGTCCCTCATCGTCGCTCCTGGTACGGACCTCGAGACCATCGCTCCGCCTGGCAGGACCACTTGTCCCTCCGCGTTCCGCTTGCACCGACCGGCCCTAATATCCTCCTCGACCTTGGGACATCTCCTGATCGAATGGTCGTGCTCCCCACAGTAGATGCAGTTATAATTCAGGGGGGCAGGCCTGTTGGACGTCGCAGGGGCCATCGCAGCATTCTGTTGGACAGCGGCTACTAAGGCTTGACTGATGGACTTTGTAATAACCTCCACCAGTGACGACAGGT